GAGAGCGACTGTTTTGGTTTTTGAGAAGCATTCCAGAAGACCTCTTCAGACTACCATGAATAGGCCAGTTTCTTCAGGTAGCACCTGAAATGGGTAATAATATTCTGGTTCTAGAGCCCATAGACAGAATTGTCCTGTTACCACTAAAAAGTTCCAACACTAAAGAGTGGCCTATTTTCCTTCCCAATTGAGATGGAGAGAACTGGGTTTTCTTCAGGATCTCCCTCTAACCTTCTCCAAAGACTAGGTGACCTTTAAAGGGCACAGCAATTTGTTTTATCATGAGGGAAAAATCTCCAGACCAAGCTTTTATTTACAAAGCTATCACCTGTGCTGAATGATGGATTTAGTGTTCAGCTGGAAATGAACTATCCTGAAGCAGCAACTCCGGAACTATATTCTTTTCAAAGTGTCTTTTTTCTTTTTCTTTTTTTTCTGTTTGATGGTATTAAATACAGAACATTAAAAAACAATATAAACTTCATGATGAGTTAGGAAAAAAGAAAACTTTGGCACAGTCAAAATTCTTTGTGCATTTTTTAAAATGAAATATGGATTTAAGTACATCTTAGCAGCAAAGCAACAAATATAAAGCCTTCAGCTATTACCTATCTACTTACTAAGACAATCTGGATTTTCAATATAAATCAAGAAAAAATGGCTTGAAAGCTTACAAGTAATCTGAAAAACGTTTCCTTCTCCCATAAGTATAATGAGTGGAAAATCTCCCCTATGCTGTTCTTTATCCCCATGTAACAAGACAGTCAGTGACATTCTAATGTAAAATCCAAAAACTATTCCAATTTTGCTTAAGATCATAAAAGTCCTCTGGGGTTTAGAAAATCAAAAGCAACCCTTATTTAAAGCCACATTGAATTAAACAGTTTCTTCTAAATAAGTCATCATGTCTAAAAAAAAAAACACTTTACTAAAAACTGAAGTCTATATTATTTTAATAGTCCTTCAGCTTACAGTTTAAGATAAGGATGGAGAATTAAAGTAGCTTTTTATCTGACATGTTTTTAATATACTCTTTATCCGTGTGAGATATACATGAGCCTCACACTTTGACAATTTATGCAATTTTGCAATAACTTCTGCAATATTATATATAAAAATGTTTTCTTTGCCAACATTCAGAAAATTGTGGGTCATCTTGC